AACCTCTGAATTCAGATTTAGGTTGATTCCTGGAATTCTTCTCAAGCAGTGTAGTATGTGGTCTGAAGATGTGTAAACAGATGCTGATAATGAAGTGACATCATTGTACTGTTGTTATGGTGTTTACTGGCAGCACCGTGGGCTATTCTTGGGTGTTTTGGGTGGCATGTTTTTACATTGAGAAACAATTTTGAAGTCTAAAAGCGGAGTGTGAATTTTGATATCGCCTATGGAAAATGGTGCAAAATGTCCCATCCCTGCATCGCTATTTATGACGTCAGAGGACTCTGGGCCACTGGAGTGCAGGGGAGAAGAGACTGCAGGGACCAGCCTAACCGCTTAGAGGAGCCTGTGGGAGTGGAGGATCAGGTAAGTAAAACCGCTTTACAAACACCCTAAACATAAGTGAGAAGCTAGCCCTTGCAATGCAGTTCTACTTTCTTCTTCCTTTTTCTTCTCCTTTCTTTTATTTCCTTCTATTTTCTTCTTCTTTCTCCTTTCACTTCCTTCTTCTTTCTCCTTCCTCTTCATCTTCCCTCCTCTTCTTCCCTCTTCTTTCCTCTTCTTCTTTCTCCTTCTTCCTTCTTCTTTCTTCCTTCTTCTTTCTTCCTCTTCCTTCCTTCTTTCTTTCTTCCTTCCTTTCTTTCTTTCTTCCTTTCTTCCTTTCTTCCTTTCTTCCTTCCTTCCTTCCTTCCTTCCTTCTTCCTCTCTTTCCTCTTCTTTCCTCTTCCTCTCTTTCCTCTTCCTCTTCTTTCCTCTTCCTCTTCTTCTTTCCTCTTCTTCTTTCCTCTTCCTCTTCTTTCCTCTTCTTTCCTCTTCTTTCCTCTTCTTTCCTCTTCTTTCCTCTTCTTTCCTCTTCCTCTTCTTTCCTCTTCTTTCCTCTTCTTCTTTCCTCTTCCTCTTCTTTCCTCTTCCTCTACTTTCCTCTTCCTCTTCTTTCCTCTTCTTTCCTCTTCCTCTTCTTTCCTCTTCCTCTTCTTTCCTCTTCCTCTTCTTTCCTCTTCTTTCCTCTTCCTCTTCTTTCCTCTTCCTCTTCTTTCCTCTTCCTCTTCTTTCCTCTTCCTCTTCTTCTTTCCTCTTCTTTCCTCTTTTCCTCTTCCTCTTCTTTCCTCTTCTTTCCTCTTCCTCTTCTTTCCTCTTCCTCTTCTTTCCTCTTCCTCTTCTTTCCTCTTCCTCTTCTTTCCTCTTCCTCTTCTTTCCTCTTCCTCTTCTTTCCTCTTCTTTCCTCTTCTTTCCTCTTCCTCTTCTTTCCACTTCCTCTTCTTTCCTCTTCTTCTTCTTTCCTCTTCCCCTTCCTCTTCCCCTTCCTCTTCTTCTTTCCTCTTCCTCTTCTTTCTTCTTCTTCTTCTTTCCTCTTCCCCTTCCTCTTCTTTCTTCCTCTTCTTTCCTCTTCTTTCCTCTTCCCCTTCCTCTTCTTTCTTCCTCTTCTTTCCTCTTCTTTCCTCTTCCCCTTCCTCTTCTTTCTTCCTCTTCTTTCCTCTTCTTTCCTCTTCCCCTTCCTCTTCTTTCCTATTCTTCTTTCTCCTTCTTTCTTTTTTGTGAGTTTGTAACTCTGAAAGTACATACAGTGTGTAAAGAAAAGAATCACCCTCCTTTTTAAAATCACATTTTGTTGCTTTGCAGACAGAAAAGCAAAAGCCCCAAAATGTGATTATTTAAAAGGGGGGTGATTATTTTCTATACTTGCTGTATATTATTGGTGTAACATGACAGCCAAGCTAATTAGCATGTTTAAATGTAGAAATAGCAACCTACACATTACCAGTGTTTCCTTTTAAATCATTGGTTTTTGATGTTTTAATCTATAGATACAGTTCTATAAAAACTCATTCAGTTTCTGTGTGCAACCACTAGATGTCAGCAAAACATTTCTTAGTTTGGATGAGCCACCAAAAAAAGTCTAAAGTGTAAATTTATTTCAGGTACTTATATATCGCCATCAATGTACGCAGCACTTTACATATATATTGTACATTCACATCAGTCCCTAACCCTCAAGGGGTGTACAATCTAAGGTCTCTAACTCACATTCATACATACACATACTAGGGACAATTTAGACAGGAGCCAATTCACCTACCAGCATACCTAGTACTGCCAGGCGGAAGTGCTAACCATTTACCCACTGTGCTGCCCAGGCAAGCATTTATCAGGACACATAATTTCCCTCGTCCCTTGCTCAAGATCCATAAGTGTGTCTAGTTTTGCTTACCATAGGTATATTTACACTGATATACAGGCTGCCTCAAGTGCTTGTACTTTATTTGACAGTACAGGACCCTGTGAGCAATTAATACTTCTGCCCAGTCCTCCACAGTGGACTATAGGATAACCCCTGTATTATAGAGATGAGGAGAGGGGAAGTGTTCTGTAGTCCTAACATACCTTCCATCCAAAGCGGTATTCTCATCCCTGTCCAGTTCATATCTGTGGACTACAGAAACACCTGTGATTCCATGTTGCAGAGATGAAGAGAGGAGGAGGTGTTCTGTAGTCTTAACATACTTCCCGTCCACAATGGTGCGATTAGCCCGGCCCCATTCACCTCTGTGGACTACAGAAACACCTCTATTTATAGGGATGAGGAGAGGGGAAGGTGGTCTGTAGCCCTAACAAACTTCCCATCCAAAGAAGTGTTATCAGTCCTGCCCAGGTTACCTCTGTGGATGACAGAAACACCCCCACCTCCATGCGATAGAGATAAAGAGAGGGGGAGGTGTTCTGCGGTTCAAATATACGTCGCGTTTTTCAGGTGTTTCCATTGAAGTCTATGCGGACAAAAATGCTCAGTTCTGCCTGAAAAGTAGCTCATGTACTTTTATTGAGTGACAGGTGTTTTGCGACAAGCGACAGAAAGCTCAGATGTGAACAAGGGCTATTGAAAACAATAGTTTGTTGCTTGCTGAGCGTTTTTCAGCTACAAAACTCTCAAGTGTTAACAGGGCCTCAGGCTCCTTTCTCCACCTAGGTGGTTGGTATCGCGGGCAGAATCACGGCGATCCCAAAACGCTGTGCAAAAACTACAAATTCGCACCGTGCCTCACCCATTCATTTTAATGGCATCTAAAACACGGTGCAGTTGGGGCAAACCCTATCATGTGAAGCTTGTCACCCTAAAGAAGCTCCTGCTCTACAATCGTAGTTTTCTGCGATTGCAGCGTGATTTGTTAACAATTGCGGCAGAACCGCACTGCATCTTAGGTGTCATTGAAAGTTAATGGCATCTGAACTTGCATGGTGCGATTTTTTTTTTTTTTTCCATTTTTTGTACTGTGTTTTCGGATTGCGGGCATACACCCTGTTCCAAATTATTATGCAAATTCTATTTAAGTGTCACAAAGATTAAATATTTTGTTTTTCAGTGTAAGTCATGGATGGCATTGTGTGTCAGGGCTCTTTTGATCACTGAAAACAATCTCGGACACCTGTGATAATTAGATTGGCTGGTGAGCCCAATTTAAGGAAAAACTACTAAAGGAGGGTGTTCCACATTATTAAGCAGAGCACCATTTTCAAGCAATATGGGGAAGAAAAAGGATCTCTCTGCTGCCGAAAAGAGTGAAATAGTTCAATGCCTTGGACGAGGGATGAAAACATTTGATATTTCACGAAAACTTAAGCGTGATCATCGCACTAGTAAGAGATTTGTGGCTGATTCAGAGCACAGACGGGTTGGTGCAGATAAAGGCACAATGAGGAAGATTTCTGCCAGATCCATGCATCGGATCAAGAGAGCAGCTGCTAAAATACCATTACATAGCAGAAAACAGATATTTGAAGCTGCTGGTGCCTCTGGAGTCCCACAGACATCAAGGTGTAGAGTCCTACAGAGTCTTGCAACTGTGCATAAACCTTCTATTCGGCCACCACTAACCAATGCTCACAAGCAGAAAAACGGCTGCATTGGGCAGAAAAATACATGAAGACTAATTTTCAAACAGTCCTGTTCACTGATGAGTGCCGTGCAACCCTGGATGGTCCAGATGGATAGAGTAGTGGATGGTTGGTGGACGGCCACCCTGTTCCAACAAGGCTGCGACGTCAGCAAGGCGGTGGTGGAGTCATGTTTTGGGCCGGAATCATGGGAACAGAGCTGGTCGGCCCCTTTAGGGTACCCAAAGGTGTAAAGATGACCTCTTCAAAGTATGGGAAGTTTATGACTGACCACTATCTTCCCTGGTACAGAAGGATGGACTATACTTTCCGTAATAAAATCATCTTCATGCATGACAATGCACCATCTCATGCTGCAAAGAATTCCTCTGCATCAATGGCTGCTATGGGGATAAAAGGAGAGAAAGTCATGGTGTGGCCTCCATCCTCCCCTGACCTCAATCCTATTGAGAACCTTTGGAGCATCCTCAAGCAAAAGATCTATGAGGGTGGGAGGCAGTTTACATCCAAACAGCAGCTCTGGGAGGCTATTCTGACATCTTGCAAACAAATTCAAGCAGAAACTGTCCAAAAACTCACAAGTTCAATGGATGCAAGACATGTTAAGCTGCTATCAAATAAGGGGTCCTATGTTACAATGTAACGTGACCTGTTCAAATGTTTAAAAAGTTAAAATGTTGTTAAAAGTTTGATTGAAATAGCTTTTGATTTCAGTAAATATGCTGCAAACACAACAAATGACAATTTTCAGTTCTTTACAACCTATAAAGTGTTTTGAAACTTACTGTGCGGAATAATTTGGAACAGTCATTGTAAGTGTTTTATGTTTAACAAAAAATCCTGTTATTAGGAGGTTTGTTCAATAAAATGTGAATTGTACTCTTAATAGTTGATAACATGAGAATTATGCTGACTGTTGTTTACATCAATTATTTAGGTAAATGAGAACAATATCATTTGCATAATAATTTGGAACAGGGTGTAGTTGCAGTGATTCTGCCTGTGATACAAAATGCCCACATGTGAACAGAGCCTAAGTACCGTATTTTTCACTCCATAAGACGCACCTAGGTTTTAGAGGAGGAAAACAAGAAAAAAAAATGTTCTGCAGACATAGTACAGGAAATTATCAGAGACTGCAGGTGTACTACAGGAGATGGCCAGAGACTGCGGACACAGTACAGGAGATGACCAGAGACTGCGGACACAGTACAGGAGATGACCAGAGACTGCGGACACAGTACAGGAGATGACCAGAGACTGCGGACACAGTACAGGAGATGACCAGAGACTGCGGACACAGTACAGGAGATGACCAGAGACTGCGGACACAGTACAGGAGATGACCAGAGACTGCGGACACAGTACAGGAGATGACCAGAGACTGCGGACACAGTACAGGAGATGACCAGAGACTGCGGACACAGTACAGGAGATGACCAGAGACTGCGGACCTTTGGGGAGCGTGTACCCGAATATGACAGGTACCTGCTCTTACTTCCACTGCTATCACCTCTCTCCCCATAGTCTTCTTGGACACGTGACAGGTCCCAGAAGACTACGGGGCCATCCACAAAGTGCAGCGCTTCTCGCACATGCGCAGTGGGCACTCGGCTGTGAAGCTGCAAGCTGTCACAGCCGGGTGCCCACATTAAAGATGAGGACATCACTGGACCAAGGAACAGGTAGGACGGAGGAGCAGTTTCTGCTGCACAGAAGAGCCGAGCGGCCGGCCCAGTATTTTCTTTCATGGCGGCGAGAGCGGGAATACCGGGCAGGCCGCTCCATAGGATGCACAGGCATTTCCCCCCATTTTTTGGGGAAAAAAGTGCATCTTATGGTGCGAAAAATATGGTATATTACATTTGTGTTCTTGGGTATAGATACATTTCAACCATTTTGGAAATATTCAATCATGCAATGTATGAGGAAAACTGAATAAATATCCCCCCAAATTATTGGAGCCGCAGATTTCGAATGTAAAATTTCAATCGGAGAGTCAAACAGGTCTTCTCTCTTGATTTTGATTAACTCCTTCCCACCCAGCCCATTGTACGATGACGGTCGAGCAGAACCCCCATTATCCTGGGAGGACAACGTGAGGATGTCATATGATGTCCTCCCAGGATCACGCTTCGTGCGCCCCAGGGGCCATGCTCCGACTTGATCTGTCAACGGTCATGACACGGCCAAAGACAGATCACTACACCGGCCCGCTGCCAGTGTCATGTGATCACTGTGACCAATCACAGCACATCACATGACATTTGTAAAGAATGAACGGCTTCCTTTTTTGCCATTTATTACTTACTACTGTGCTGCTAGCTGTGATTGGTCACATGTACAGACTGGGCCAATCACAGCCCAACTGTAGCATGTGATCTGCTTTGGTCAATCACAGCTGATCACAATAAAAACTATTGACTGAATCAGTTCCATTCAGGAAAAATGCTTGCCTATACCAATAAAATTCAATGGTAAAAAAAAAAAAAAAAAAATCCTGATCAGTTGCCCAGAGTAGTACAATGTTGCTATGGTAATGTTGTATTGCTTTGGTCACATGAGTAGGAAAAAAAATCATAATTTTTTTTTTTTTATTTAATAAAATGTATTATTATTTATTTTATTTTTTTTACATACTGTCGCCAGTCAGTGTTCCCTGATCACTGCCGCACCCGTTAAATTATGAAGTTGCACTACATTGGTGACAGTATGTTAAAAAAAAAAAAAAAAAAATTGTGAAATATTTTTTCATTTCTTAATTTTTCACAAAATTATAATAAAAAATTACAACTTCACAAAACCCACCATGCCTCTTATTAAATACCTCAGACCATCTACTTTCGAAAAAAAGCGGTCATTTGGAGGGTATGTTTACTATCTTGGTGTTTTTGGGCCTCAATAAATGAGATCGCCCGTCAGTACATCAGGATTTATTGAATTTTAGATATATCGCATGCTTTGTGGACTATATAATTTTTCCTACCAACTAATTAATAAACACTGATTTGGGTTATTTTCACCAACACAATATAGCCGAATACATTTTGGCCTAAATTTGTGTAGAAAGAATATTCATTTGCAAAATTTTTATAACAGAAATGAATAAAAACGCTGTTTTTTTTTTTTCAAAATGTTTGGTCTTATTTCATTTTATAGAGCAAAAAATAAAAAAAAAAAACCCACTGCTGATTAAATACCACCAAAATAGATCTTTATTTGTATGAAAAAAATTTATAAAAATTTCAAATGGGAACAGTGTTGCATGACGGCGCAAATGGAATCTTCTACTCTTCCAACCAATCCATCCCCATCAGTTACTACCTTTTGTACCACTAGCCCCTCCCTCCTAGATTGTAAGCTCCCAGGATCAGGCCCTCCTATCCCTCTTGTATTGAACTGTATTGTCTCCCTTTATATTGTAAAGGGCTGAGCAAACTGTTGGCGCTATATAAATCCTGAAGAATATATTATAAATCCTGAATAATAATAATAATAATATAAATCCTGTATAATAATAATATAAATCCTGTATAATAATAATAAAATACATTTGAACTTTCCAATTACATCTAATTATAAAAAAAAGAAAAAAAGCGGCAAAAAATCAATGCTCAGGAGCTCTTCCAAACATTTAAGAGAACCGCGTTGGAGCCCAAAGTTTGAATCTAAAATACTGGAGAGCACAACCCCGGCTGGACCCAGCGATGGCCTCGCATAGCAGACAACAATGCCTGGAAATAGAGTGAGCGTGATTTCATCTCCTGTTATGTTGTAACACGTGCAGCAAAATGCACATCTTCTCCCGGGACCCGCCAGATGTCAATCAACTACAAGTCACAGCGTACCACACAGCTCGCAGTCACAAGGCATGCTGGGTCTTTTAGTTCTAAAATAGACAGAAGGGACCTATAGGGTAGGAGTGGGGGAGGGGCTATCACTGTCAGCTCTAGGTGTTTGCACTCATTTTTAAGTTGAATACATTTTCATTTATATATTTCCAGTCGGCCAGTTTAAAACACTACATAGGAATCCAACCTGCAGCCTGAGCTGCAGAAAAGCTGAGAAAAAGCAGAGAGACGAACGCCTACCCAGTGCCAGGACAAGGTCATCCAGTGTCTAGAGCAGTGGTTCTCAACCTGTGGGTCGTGACCCCTTTGGGGGTCGAACAACCCTTTCACATGGGTCCCCTAAGACCATCAGAAAACACATATTTCCAATGTGTAAAGAGCAGCTACTGTGTAGAAAGCAGCTACTGTGTTGAAAGCAGCTACTGTGCTGAAAGCAGCTACTGTGCTGAAAGCAGCTACTCTGTTGAAAGCAGCTACTCTGTTGAAAGCAGCTACTGTGCTGAAAGCAGCAGTATTGGAGCTAAAACGACACTCATGAATTATAATTACTGGGTAAATAATTTTATGGTTGGGGGTCACCACAACATGAGGAACTGTATTAAAGGGTCACGGCATTAGGAAGGTTGAGAACCACTGGTCTAGGGTGACTGTACCCCCCCGCCCCCCAACACCACCCCCAATTGTGTGGAGAAGGGGATGGAGCCAATATTTGCACACATCAAAATGCTTGTAGTATTTGTTACATACAATCAACAAAAATCACCTGGGTTAGTGGTGTCACTGCAAGAAAAAAATGTGGTGTCACTAGAAGGAAAAAATGTCCCTGAGTCGGTGGTGTCATTAGAAGGAACAAATGTTCCTGACTCAGTGGTGTCGCTAGAGGGAAAAAAATGACCCTGAGTCGATGGAGTCACTAGAAGGAAAATGACCCTGAGTCGGTGGTGTCACTAGAAGGAAAATGACCCTGAGTCGGTGGTGTCACTGCAAGGAGAAAATGTCCCTGACTCGGTGGTGTCACTAGAAGGAAAAAATGTCCTGGAATTGGTGGTGTCGCTAGAAAGAAAAATGCCCCTAAGTCGGTGCTGTCACTGCAAGGAAAAAATGTCTCTGAGTCGGTGGTGTCACTAGAAGGAAAAATATCCATGACTCGGTGGTGTCACTAGAAGAAAAAACTGTCCACATTTAGCATGATACTTGTTGGATTCACATACGATACATGATGTATTGTACCTTGTGATCAGGCAGGTAGGAGTCACCTCTCTTCTGCAATAAAGAACCTGGCTGCTCTTATTTTTTCACTCTTTCTTTCTAGCTCCGTGTTTATCAGACCTGAACATTTGTATTTCTTCTGATGCTGTGATGTGAAAAGAAAGGAGTTGATATAGCAAGTCAGCATGTTTATAAAAAAAATTGCACTCAAGAATGCGGATGTGAAGTATTTTTATATCAGGTATTTTCCAAACGTGACACCAGACTGACATGAAAAATAACAAAAACTGGTTTGAAAGGTGTTAGTATAACTTCGACCCATCGACTCTTCCGCCTCTCACCGATCACAATGGTAAGGAAGCTGGAAGAGTCACTAGAAGGAAAAAATGTCCTTGACTCGGTGGTGTCACTAGAAGGTAAAAATGGCCCTGAGTCGGTGGTGTCACTAGAAGGAAAAAAATATCCTTGACTCGGTGGTGTCACTAGAAGGAAAAAAATATCCTTGACTCGGTGGTGTCACTAAAAGGAAAAAAATATCCTTGACTCGGTGGTGTCACTAAAAGGAAAAAATGTCCCTGAGTCGGTGGTGTCACTAGAAGGAAAAAATGTCCCTGAGTCAGTGGTGTCACTAGAAGGAAAAAATGTACCAGAGTTGGTGATGTCATTAGAAGGAAAAAAATATCCCTGAGTCGGTGGTGTCACTAGAAGGAAAAAATGTCCCTGAGTTGGTGATGTCACTAGAGGGAAAGAATGTCCCTGAGTCGGTGGTGTCACTAGAAGGAAAAAAATGTCCCTGAGTCGGTGGTGTCACTAGAAGGAAAAAATGTCCCTGAGTCAGTGGTGTCACTAGAAGGAAAAAATGTACCAGAGTTGGTGGTGTCATTAGAAGGAAAAAAATATCCCTGAGTCGGTGGTGTCACTAGAAGGAAAAAATGCCCCTGAGTTGGTGATGTCACTAGAGTGAAAAAATGTCCCTGAGTCGGTCGTGTCACTAGAAGGAAAAAATTCCCTGCCTCGGTGGTGTCACTAGAAGGAAAAAATGTCCTGGAATTGCTGGTGTCAATAGAAGGAAAAATGCCCCTAAGTCGGTGCTGTCACTGTAAGGAAAAAATGACCCTGAGTTGGTGGTGTCACTAGAAGGAAAAAAATGTCCCTGGCTCGGTGGTATCACTAAAAGGAAAAAATGTCCTGGAATTGGTGGTGTCACTAGAAGGAAAAAATGTCCGAGTCAGTGGTGTCACTAGAAGGAAACAATTCCCTGACTCGGTGGTGTCACTAGAAGAAAAGTGCCCGAGTCGGTAGTGTCACTGGAAGGAAAAAATGTCCCTGAGTCGGTGGTGTCACTAGAGGGAAAAAATGTCCCTGAGTCGGTGGTGTCATTAGAGGGAAAAAATGTCCCTGAGTCGGTGTCACTAGAAGGAAAAAATGTCCCAGAATCAGTGGTGTCAGTAGAAGGAATAATGTCCCTAAGTCTCCTAGATTGTAAGCTCCCAGGATCAGGCCCTCCTATCCCTCTTGTATTG